GGTAACAGCAGGGGCAGGGGCAGGGGCAGTTCCAGTAGACTTGATTTCTTCTTCTTCCTGTGGTGACCTAGCAAGGCTATAGCCATATTAGAGCTAACAAAGGTTTATCCATGCTGATACCATTTGTGATATAAGCTTAACAATAAATGTCATAGTAAGAACTATAAGGATATTACATCACAAGTCTAATTTAGTACGTCTGAGAAATACTTAAAATTTAGTTTAAAGCAAAGAGAGTTAAGAAGACTTAACATTTATTAGAACAAGACTAAATTAGTGACTATGTAATAATCGTATACATTTTTGGTTAATCAATGATAACTTCAAGATAGCACTAGAGATATGAACACAGCAGACAGTCTTTTATATAAATACTCGTACATTTCATTTATTAATAAAGGACAATCTTATAAACAGTCTCAAACTACTTCTATAGTCTTTTTATAATTTTACTTTACCATAAAGCACAACATCCTCCGCAGAATTAGAATAATTATCCTCCTTTATAACCATGTGTTCCATGCGTAAACAACTACCGATTCTCACCGGTACTGAAACAGTAATCTCACACTGGTTTCTCTTACAATTCATCTTAGTAGTCTCAATGGTCTTGATATTCAACACCTTGCCCGAACCTACTAGTCCTAATCTTTCAGCAAAAGACCTGTTGATCACCGAAATAGCCGAACCAGAATCCAATACGAGCTTCACGGGATAATCTTTCACCATACCTAAGATAGCCAACGGAGATGAACTTACCATCAACACCCTCTCGTATGGATAGTCATACACCGAATCGTTGTCACTCTCTTCATCCAACGAGGATTCAGAATAAGATTCATAACCAGAGGTAGTAGTACTACTTTCCGTATCGGTATCCGTTTCGCTATCTAATTCACTTGTAGCGTCTTGCACCAGATTAACCACAGCTGGAGTAGGATTAGGTAGATTACCTTGAGGCACACCGTTCGCAGGACCTCTACCCTTCCGAGGTTTACGACCACGCAAGAACCTTAAACCATCTTTTATATCCTTTTGTACCTTCTTATCCAGTATAATCCAATCCTTTAGAGATAATGAGGCTTGACTTGCACCCATCTTCTCCCAGATATCTAACACCGGACCGGTTACCTTTAAACGTCGTGGTGGGGCTCTCACTCTCCTAGGTTTATCACCCATAACAGCACCGCTCGATATGTTACCATCTAACACCATTGGTTCATGTCTCGGTCTTGAATATGAAGCTTCACCATGTTGCATAGGTGGGCTCAGGTTCATAGGTGGTAATTGATACGATTGGTAATCTGGCATAGGCGTAGGCTGCATAGTTGGCATAGCAAGACTTGGTTGACCTGGAGGCATAGAAGGCATAGGTTGGATAGGAGGTACCGTAGAAGATGGCTGTTGCATAGATAACATAGGCCTACCGCCAGAACCTCTTACTCTAGTTTTCTTAGGAGTAGTCGCTTCCTTGGTAATGGAATCACCATGGTTAGCTCTCTTAGCTGCATACACTTCAGCGGCTTCAATCAGATGTACTTCTTGACTCTCCTTGTCCTTGTCCGTGGTAGGATTACGGACATTATCAGGTGGACTGACTAATAACGTCCTTGTTCTTTTCCCGCCTGTTCATTATCCGCGTTAACTTCACCTATGGGAGTGGCATTGGCACCAGAAGCAGGTGTATTACTCGTTGGACCTCGAGTAGGACGGTGTTCAGGACAATATGTAGCCAGATGACCGGACGGTACGCTTATAGTCGGGCCAAATCTAGCCAATAAAAGTGCTGGGAATAGTGTAAGGAGCCAATAGTAGTGCTAGAAAGTTTTGTAGTGTAAGAAATCCAGCCAGTAAAACTGGTTGGAATAGTGTAGTGAGCCAATACAAATGCCAGGAATAGTGTAGCGGGTTTCAAACAGGCAGCGCTGTAATCTCCAGCGGGTAATTAAATGTTTTTTTCGTGTGTACCCCTTTTGTTTGTCAATGTTGATTTTATCCTCGCGCAATCTACATCTACATAAATAACTGTCTTTTCTACTTTGACTGTACTTCTTTTATTTTTTATCATTTCTTTATATATATAACCTCATAATATAAGTTTTTGTAAGTAAGAATAGCAGACGCCGTTTGGGACCAAAATTATATATTGATTATGCTTCGTACTGATATACTTTGTTAAAACAAAGCAGGGATAATGTCTACTAATCAAATTAAAAAGAAAGGCCGCCGCTTGGGCTCAAAAAATAAGCTTGGATCCAAAGCACCAGGCCCAAAGCCAGCTCACTTAGTTAATCAGACGTTTTTAGACTTTCCCATTGTTGCAGAAGAAGCTGAAAGCAGTACCACCGGACGAAGTCAACATTCATCATTTTTCAGTACAGCAGTATTACAAGGATTTGAATCTGCGGGCTCTGGTGAAATCAATGTTTACCCAAACGAGGAGGTAATTTTTATTTTAAAGTATTGGTATTATTTTTTTATTTGGATATTTATTTTACTTACCGTAGAACGATCAAGTACTAAATCAAAACCTTGTCAATCAAAATGCTATTGATAATAATGGAGACCCCTCTTCTTCCACGGAAAGTACGCACCATAGCATTGATTTAAATGCCGAAGATGAGGTAACATGATAATATTTTAAATGATCAAATAAAGGCTTGCTGAATCATTTCAAATTTAGGAAAATGTACCTCTTGTTGAAGATGACGCCAATGTCCCAATTGATTCGGAAAGTGAAGATGATAATTCAAATATCGAAGAGTTAACTGAGGAGCAAATCACCTCAATCGAAAATAGGGCAGCGGAGATTCCCGAGAAAGGATGGCTTGACAAATATCTCGGATCAATCCAAGATAAACTTAAAGGTGGAAATACTCCTGATGAATATAATCAGGGCACATTTTGGATTAACCCTCCAAGTATATCTTTCGTTCTGAAAAAAAAAATTGATCCTGAATTACTTTACCGGCCAAGAGTATGCGTATGGCTTCCCCAATATTTGACTCGAACCCCTTTGCGTTGTCCTAAATGTAATAACACTTTGCTCGCGAAGGAATGGGTCCAGAAAACAAAAGCTCGTCGTATTATTGACTTAGAAGAGTAAGCAAAATGTTAATATTGTTCAATATAATTCAGTCGCATTAACATACAATTTCCTTAGTTGCTTCTATTTGCTCAGCGTCCGCTTTAAATGCACTAACAAAACCACAGTTCATACTTTCATGGGTTATGCATCGGAAATTGTCAGGCAGCTACCCGCAAGAATTCAAGCTGATTTTCCTGCCGTATTGACTCACCGTTCTGGGTTTTCAACCAAACTTGTCAAACTATTGCGTCCACAATTTCAGAATGCAACTGGTCCACATAGAATGAATCAAATTCTGAGATCCAACCATACTGAAAAGTACGATACAATCCAGTTCCAATATTATGATGCTATGAAAGACAAGCTTGAGGAACAAAGAAAAGCCAAGCAATTGATTGGAAACTTTTCATCAGCTACAAGTTATCCCGAATTTTCATCATTCAGTGATATAAATGGGTATAATGGATATGTCCCCTCAGCAAACTACCTGAGTTATGTTTACTGTTCTATAATTGCTGAATTTAGGCCGTATATGAATCAGCACACGTCCTTATTAGATGGTGTTATATTAAAAGGAGATCATTCATTTAAGGTACTTTTTTTTTTTTAAAAAAAAGAGAAAAAAATCTAACTTCTAAAGTAATACGCATAGATCATTAATCATATGGCAAAAATCAATGGTGTATCAACGTTCTCTTGTCTCTACACAGTGCTTAACGAATACGAAGAAATTCGTTTGCAAGTACTTGCTCCCACAAAATCACTAGACCATTTGACACCATCCTTTAATAACATGATGGAAAGTTACAAGAAGTACGGTTTCAAGATGCCACAGTTATTTTATACGGATAACGTTTTAGGTGATAGACTGTTCTTAGAATCCGCGATCCCTTCTCTTTTGGAAAATGTCATTCATGTCAAGCCTACTATTTCAGAACGAATTGATACAAACAATCAGTTCAAAGACTGTCCTCTGGCCACATTGCCTACAGATGTGATTGTTTCTGTATTAACAACGACTCAACAAATAAACCAGTCATGTCAGCAAATTTTGGATGATTGCACTCAGCAAGGAAACGTTCATATTGGATTTGATTGCGAGTGGGCGTTTCGAGGTGGTAATTCAGCCATATCTAGAAGTGAGCAAACAAGATTACGATTCGTACCGGTGGCTTTGGTGCAGATTGCTTTTCGCAACACCGTCTTTTTGTTTAGGATACACTCTCTTCAACCCGAGCAGCTCCCACAAAATCTGGTCAAAGTGCTTACTGACTCTAAAATTGTTAAAATCGGAAAGAATATTAGTGGAGATCTGTTAAGGTTTCGCTATTTTGGTCTCCAAAATTTTCCAGGTCAATTGGAGCTAGGTACATTTTGTAAAGACAAGGATCTGATTGAAAGAAGAAGTTTTTCTCTAGCCGATATCTGTGGTTTTGTATTAAAAGTCCAGCTCCCGAAGAAAAACTTGATTCGTTGTGGCAATTGGGAAGCAGAAAATTTGTCGGAGGAGCAGATTAATTACGCAGCCTTGGATGCCTGGGTTTCCTTGGAAATATACAACAGGTTCAAATCAATGCCCACTGTTCATCAAAAAGTCAATAATAATACTAGAGCTGGCTCTTTTGTTGCTATTCACTTAGACAGTACAGCAAAATCTTCTGCTGCTGCTTATGGTTTTTTGTGTGCCGACAATACACCTGACAACAACGAAATACACAACCCAACCAATATAAATGGTGCTTTGGTGGTGAATGTGGTAAAAGTTCAAGTTCCAGGGTTTCCAGTCGATTGTTACGATGATAATCTTACGTTGAACGACTTCAATGGTCCCAATTTCAAGGTTTACATCAAACGCAAATTTTTATTTACAGCTTCTGAAAGGGTTCATTTCCCTGCCCATGGTGACACCAATAACATTTCCGAGTCAACATCTCCCAACAGAAATGGACCAAATAGCCAAGTATCCGATAACCCCAGCAACCAGACATCTGTAAACTCTCGAGTTCTCAAAGATGGTTTTCACCTTATGGATATGATCAAACTCAACAAATCACATGGCATGCATAAAGACTTCATGAGACGCTTTCGGGATATACTATATGTCTGTGATCAAGATGATAAAGCGATAGTGGAATCATATTTGTCTAGCATCGGAACGGATTGGAATACAAGGATGCTGATTAATCCAGCGTGGATTTTTGAACGAGTTAGGAGATTTGTGCCCCCACCTGATGAACTACACTCGGCCCTCAAGTTTCTTTTCGACAGTTACGGCCCTCTGAGGTGTGAAAATTCCGGACATAAACTTTTTAATGAAGCAGCTGTCGAAATGTCTTTGCATGTTCTTAGCACCGTACAACAAGGACATGTATCAGATGTCGTAGATGGTCCCCCGCTGTACACAGAAAAGGGACCTGACAAGAACAACTTGATGAGGTATAAGTGTTCGCGGGGAACTAGCTCGGTGGAAGGGGCTTGTCACATGAATATTGTTCGCAGGTTTGCTTCCTACAATGCATCTGTAAGACTAACAGATTCCATTTTGGCAGACTATAGATTGTATCACAATATAAATGTAAGTTGCATGTTGATATATCTTTTAAAACAAAAAAGTATCTTGTGGTCTAATTAGATATCCAAACAATTTTTTAGGTTGGATCCTTGAACAGGTATGGCAAAAAACATCAAGGACATTACAGTCCTTGGCTTGTTCTAGCTATTAATGTTTTGAGAAATGATGTTGGTCATGCAACGGTTCAAGATTACATGTGCGAACGATATGGATGCTACCTTAACTTCGACCAAACAAGGGAAACATATGGTGTTGTTGAAATTCCACGTAATCTGGCCAACGAAATTGGGATCATACCAGCTACAACCCAGCAACCCAGACTTCGAACTACATTAAATCGTATAATGGAACTTTCTTCTTTACCCGTAGCTAAATTGTTTGAGGCTGGATACTCAACAAAGCAATTCCGTTACAAGTTCCTCTCCATCTGTCAAGGCACCTTGTATGCTATTACAGCGGTTCACACAAAAGAAGAAACTTCTCTGTTTGAAAATCTCCTGTCAACCCACGGCCAAGAAGACACGTTGATCTTTCAACCATTCGACTCCAAAAAACCGAATTTTAATCTTTTTGCGTATGTTTGGAATTCAACTTACTGCATTTTAAACAGCAATATCTATTACAAAACTCCTGGACACTTACAAGCTTACTACAATGTTTTAGAGGATCGAAAGAAGTACGGTAATACGGTTTTAAAAAATCTTGAAGTTTCAAAGGCAGTGCGGGCACTTGCTGAAGATGCTTCAAGATTTAATAGACCAATTCCTGCTTTGCCTCAGCCAACACATCCCACATTGCAGCATTTACCGGTGAGTACAAACATTCCTGCGTCTCCCCAACTTGCGATTATCAGACCGGTTCATCGTCCCCGACAAACATCTACTTCTCTTTCGCTGCCTCTTCCACGTTTCGCCCATTCAATAATTATTAATTCTGGAAAACGAAAAAGAGTGTGTAATGTATGCAAGATGGATGACTGTTCTGGAAGTTCAAAAGGATCGCTATGCAGCAATAAATGCGGTAAATGTAAACAAGATACCTGCCCTGGAAGACACGTAAAACAACCAAAAACCGGCAGAAGAAATTTCAGTCAGCCTCTGCCTTGTCTTAACATCTAAATGTAACTAAAATGTATGCAGGAATTGCCACCCGTCATTTTTAGTTACATGCTCAAAATCTTTTATTTTTTACATTATCAAAAAAAAAAAAAAATCTTTTGTTATATTTTCCTAACTGCTTAATTCAAGTTTCATCTAATAAAAATCAAGTAAAAATCAGAAAATACTGTAAACTTGCATCCAATTTAATAAGTTAGTGGAAAAGATCTCCAAAAATTTGGGTGCCCAAGGGCACCCAAATTTAGTTGAATTAAATGCAAAATTCGGTCAATTAAATGATCTTTTTTGAACAATGGCCCAACTATGGCTATACGGTCGATGACCGTACTCTTGACAATTGTAACACTACCGTTCACTTAAAGGGGTGTAACCTATACCGTGGTGTCGAATTGGTCACCGTTATTTCTATTTTAGGAATTTTTTTTTTTTGAGGCGTCTGAAATAAAACCGTTTTTCTTCCATTTGCATAATAAAACCAACTATGCCCTTGACAGACATTACTAATAACACTTCTAAGCGTCGCATGCAACTCGATGATTACACATGTGGCTTGATTATTGGACGATTTCAAGCTGATCAAAGCATCGCGGACATTCAACGCGCCATGTCGCTACCTAGATCAACGATCGTCGATTGCGTCAATCGTTGGAAGGAAACCGGTACTGGAATTTCAGAGACACGTAAAGGAAAGCACCCAAAGTTGTCTGAAAGGGACCAACGTACCGTTGTACGCAGCTTTAAGGATGAGCCCTTCATGCCATTTGTAGTTCACAAAGAGAAATTAAAGACCGCCGGTATCGACATACATCGACAGACTTTGAGCAAGTATGCCACTCTCAATGGGTTTGGCTCTTACTCCCCAGCGTATGTACCAAAGTTGACGCCTCGACACATGCACAGAAGACTCGCTTGGACCAAAAACAAAGTGAATTGGACACCAGAACAGTGGGAAAACGTTATTTGGTCAGATGAGTCGAAGTTTAACGTCCAAGGCAGTGATGGAAGGGTCCGAGTGATCAGAAAAGAAGGAAAAAGATATCATCCAGATCTTGTTGAGAAAACAGTAAAATTTGGGAACGGTTCCGTGATGATTTGGGGATGTATTTGGGCTGGGGGGTTAGGACCTACTGTTGTCATGAAAGGCATCATAAATCAAGAAGCGTATATCGACTGTTTGTCCAATCACTTCCTCCCCTGGCTTGAAAATGTAACTGCAGAAACATCCAGGAACTTTATTTTCCAAGAAGATGGCGCTTCCTGTCACACTGGCAGCTATGCAAGCTGGTACAAGGCGAGATGTGGTGTTGAAGGGTTCGATTTTTGGCCTGCCCAAAGCCCAGACCTCAATCCAATCGAGCATGTCTGGGCTTACTTGGAGAGACGCATAGAGGGTCGTAGATATCAGATAAAAAATATCAATCAGTTAGAAGCAGCTCTCCGTGATGAGTGGTATGATATACCCAAAACTTTTTTAGAGAAATTGGTCGGAAGTATGAACTCCCGGTGTAAGGCTGTGATAAAAGCCAAAGGTGGTAACACAAAGTATTAATTTTTAAAATAAAAACATTTATTATTAAAGTACACCTGTTAAACTTGCTCTGTTCAAATTTCGACAATATTAAGATGACATTTTATTAATAACTTATTCAATTTGAAAAACACCTTCATTTTTCAAAAAATCTGAGATCGAAAAAAAAATTCAGAATAACGGTGACCAATTCGACACCACGGTAGCAGGTTCCGCAATGCGTACAAGGTTTTACTACGAACACTTCCAGAAACGCTGTTGCCATTAGTATTGATTTGCAATTGTAGAGCATCGAAACCTTGACAGAGTCTTTCAACTGTTGAGGCAACTGAATTAAGTGAAACTACGCTAGCCGCATCACCACCAGTACGTAAACCTACAGGCTCTTGGTATTCTACACGCTTAGGTACCTTGCTCTCCACCACTTGGCGTACATCACCGTACTTGTTGTCATTCATTTCAATGCGCTTGGCTGAATTAGTGACTTCACTCCAGTCAGACAAAGAGGCATTGATGTCAGATACACGTAAAGCAATACATTTGTTAATCGCACGCATAAAATAACGAATTTTTGCAGAATCAGGTACACCTAACAAGGTAGCTAACTCCATGATACGGAATTTGATGTCATCGATACTTTGATTAGGACCCTGTTGTATATTCTCCAATTCTTCCCACCATTCATCCTTTTGAGTTCTAGAAGCATATTGTGTTTGGGATGGAGATAAAATGTAAATTAAGGTAACAAAAGAAAATACTGTTAGAACTGTGTATATCTTTTATTTCGAGAAAATTTAGATTAGGGAATTCTACTAGCAAAAATTACAGGTATTTATACTAAATGATTAGATGGCTTTCGGATAATATATGTGACGCGTTAGAGGAATATGATATAGTGTTATACGTAATGTCTGTTTAAATAAATATGTTATGAAGTAATTCCTGCCTTACAAAGTAAAGACAAAAGTACGTGAGGATCTAAATTCATCTCCGCAGGTGACATTACGTAAATGCCAAAGAGAAAGTTTAGTGCGTGTAATATTCAGTAACCGAATATTCCGCCTATAGTATTGTACTATACTTTTGTGGTATTATAATATTTTACTCGTCACAAGGCGAATCACCTTGTGCACAGACACTAACGGTTCTGATGATAACAAATGGGGCGAAGTGTGAGCCATGAATATTTATACATGATCATCCATTATTATGTAAAATGTGATGGTTCTTTTATTATAATCTATTACATCCTCAACATATTGAATGGTAAATTAAGTGACAAAATTCTCCCACATTTTCACGCTTGATTTGATTACGTTCCACCACACGGCAGCAGGACCAGCGAAGTAAGAGGCTAAAACGATAATCATTTCTTCGTCAGAGAAATTTATACAATTGTAAATTCTCTCCATGGAGTGTAACCATACCATTGGATTGGACGCATCGCCACGAAAAACCTCAGGTTTGGCCAGAAACTTGCTAATACGACTAGCAGACGCAGCGTTCATGGATTGGCGAACGTCTTGCAAGGGAGCACTTGTGTTGGATGATTTAGAGCTTGAAGGCGAGACCATAGTAATATACTTGTAGAACGAAGTACGAGAAACGAGATAGACAACAAATGAAAATAGTAATAGATTGCAGATTAAATTTAAAAGATCACGGCGTGGTCTCCAAAATGTGATATGAATATGTTTTTTATTCGGGTTATTGTCGGTTGGACAATGGGAAGTGTTCTCAAACGATAATAAGGCAATCAATGATAGGTAGCAGCAGACTATATTGCCCAGCAAATAAATAGTCATGTTAATATGTTTCGACAAACGATTCATTATTGCAATAATACACCTACGTTATTGGACGGCTAATAGAAATAATTCAATTAAGCGAGAAACCAATAGTATACAAAACTACACGCAGGTCTGAAATTTAGAGATAAAAATAAGATAAGATTTATTAAGATTCTAGCTTTTTGAGGGCCTTTTATATCTTTTACATTAATTGTGATTACATGAGATTATTCTTTAAGCACGACATCTTTGTGGTATTTAGCCATATTATACCGTAGTCGAATTAGGTTACACGATCACAATCCACAACAATTGACATTATTGTGACTTCTAATAACCTCATATAAAAGCAGAAATTAACTATTCATCTAGACGGATCCTTCTTGTCTTTTTATTATTATAGAAAAAAACAATAAAGTTATCAAAAGTTTCATTTTATTTCTTGACCCATAGTTATCACAATCTTGTACTGCAAGAGCAAAATAAGAAGATTATTAATACTATTATTGTAAAGAGGGTGTATATCACACGTAAGACTAGATGTCAGGATCGAAATTGCAGTAATCAAATCTTGTGTGAACAAGATAAACGAGGCAACTGTTGTATGCGAGCTGTAAATACACCTTAGCTAAGGTAATACGCTTGTGCTACGACGATTCAAGCACATATCGCTAGTTCCACTATCAATTAGATAATAGTCACAAGTAAAAAAAATGTTGAAAGGAGCTCTAATTGAGGTGAAATTAAAACTACCACGGAAAATTTGAATGGTAGTTGTCAACTATTAATGTGAGAAAAACTAACAGCTTAAGATCGAACTACCTCTGTGTGCCTGTTTTTTACTTATTCATGAATGTTCCCATTCATGGTTTCTGGTAGTTAAATTTCTCTTTTTATGTGGAGACACGTATATTTATCCCAAAAGTTTTACTAAAAATGTATTGATTTTAAGCAATAACTTTATGGCCTATCACTGATTTGTGTGAATTGCTCTCATGCCAAAATGGCTGGTATTCCAAAATAGTCTACACAACAGACTACCAGTTACCTTAGAATTAAAACTCAAAAACTATCACATAAATATTTCGTCTATTCGTGCATGGAACTTAGAATCCTATGCGCCCTCTTTCGACCAAGGTGTAATTTCAAAAAGTTACGATCACATGAAACTTGGAATTGCAGGGTTTTTTATTACAGGTAGCTAATGCGAAATTTCGATTTAAAAAGGAAATCACAACATTCAATTTCAATTACGCTGTATGGGCATTGTTTAGTCAGTTTAAGTCCCACACCCCCCAAAAAAAATACTTGTTTGCATACATTCTTGATCAAAATTCCCGAAATAAACGGAGGCTATATTCAAAACCTTTCTTCCTTTTTTTTTTCCTTCTCATTTTACTTTGTCCTTCTTTTCTTTATTTCTCACTTTTTCCTACGCATATTTTTTTTTTCATAATTCCATTCAACTGCTATTTATCTTACCTATTACTTATCATTTTATAGGTACAAATATTATTGATAATCTAATAGTTTTTAATATAATATGTGCGTATGTCTAGTCCAAACACTTTTTGTATTATGTCTATAACGCATTCCTGGTTACAACCATTAGACACAGTTCCAGGTCCACAAATATACCGTCTTATCGTAAAATTTTTTTAATTTTTGTTAAATTTGAGTAGACGACAGAATCTAATAGTTCACGAGTGTGTGTATATTGTTTATTCCTCTTTTTACACTACTGCATTTATTGGCAACGTAAGGAATGCTAGGCCTACTCGTAATTTTGGTAACTGGTGAGTTGGAATAATCGTGGCTATAACATCTTTGATAAGTCAATTAGCACAAACTAAAACTGTCGCATTCCAAAGACTGTCATTTTCCATAATCACAGCTATCGTCATAATAAGAATGAATAAAAGAACATATGCAATTGGCCGTGATTTCTAGATTAAGAGTTATTATGTTCTGCATTGGCATGCATAAATTAAAAATTATACATTTACAATTATGCGAAGAGGAAATTTATTCAGTCAAGCGCTTTTCATTGCAAATATTACACATCATGATGGGCACTTTTATTGATTTTAACAGCCACTCGCTTGGACAAGAATTCATTGAAGAGTTTAACGGCTATTTGGCTCAAGTCAAAAAGCTTCAGGACGACTTTTGTTCCAATTCGCAAATACTGCCACGGAAGTTGAAATTATGGGAACTATTGCCGCCACTCTCTGCCCTTCTTTGAAAAAAAGAATTATATCTTCTTGTTCTGAAGAAAAACGGGGATCAAATGAGTGGAATGCGTTTAGACATGCGTATAAGGATAAATTTAGTAAGATTTTACCAGTCGAGTCTTTAATTTGTCCTAACACTGAAAACATATAATCACTGATTAGAAGGCGATATCCACAAGGCCAGGGAAGCTTACCTTGAGCTTTCAGATGATCCTGATAGAAGAGATAAAATGTGTGAAATTATGGAAAGATTTGAGGTTTACAAGCTTTCTCAAAAAAGAGTTAAAGCTAATACATCTGCAGATGATGATCTGAAAGATGTAAATGAGAAAATAAAATAGCTGCATAAAAATCATCGTATTCACGTTATTATGTATGGCGCATTTGAAGATCAAACAATGAAGATGGGATGTTTTAAGTTTATGAATTCTGGTAACTTTTTTGTACTTGACTTAACAGGGCATGTTAAAACTTTCAAATCTATTTTATTAGGTCTAGCACGGAAGTATGAGGTTGAATCCACAGAAAACGACAAGACTAATACGGCTCTCAAATTTCAGAAATTTGTTCTACGCAATGTGTCCGAGAGTAGATGCGGTAAATTCTGTCATTATATCATGATCAATCTTTCTTTAACACACCTCTCTTACGGAATATATAGTGAGTAAGCGACCCAGGCAAGTTGTCGACCATTCCGAAGGTATGCGTAGGTGCGTTTTTACAAACAGTTCCTTATATAAATTTTACAGTCCAGAGCGAGCCTTCAAGCTCAAAAAGACGATTGTGCAATAGCACACAAATGAAGTTAGTTTTGAAAAAGGATATTAGAGGGTTGTTGAGGGAGAGCTTAAGTATGTAGTTGTTAATGTCTAAATGACCAGTGTTTTAAAAAGTTCCTGTATCTAGGAAAAGCAACGAAACTTAGTAAGCTGGAAACTGTACCCTGGGATCAAGTTACAACCGAACAAGGATTTATGAACTTTAAGTTGGCCGGATGGGGTTATTGGAAATAAAGAATCGATTATGTGAAAGTAGAAGATCTGCAAATTATTCTTGACGCCATAAAAAGCGGTGTTTTGTGTGTCGTTCCGACTAAATAAACAAATTTTTGCCCTAGCTAAATTCATAAATGACCGCGATTTTTTTTTTTTTTTTAAGTTTCTACAACAATCTCCATCGGCGCAAATTTTTATTCATTTTAAAGAAAACCTCTAAAGTACAATACGTTGATCAGCTAAAATGATTTGTTGCATCTTTGAGTTACGAAGATGGAAAATAAACATCTCAAATAGGATCAGGTAGAATGCAATAAAACTGAACCACGTTTTCAAGAGTAAGGAGGGAAACAAACGGCTTTATGGGAGGTTTTAGCAATCCTATTACACGTCTTATTAAGATATATATAAACAGTATATGCTGCTGAATGTATGATTTTAAAAATACAATATGTTCTTTATTGTGATGTCATACAAAGTTATTAATATGGATTTAATAGTCATTGCATCCCATTTAACTTGGAATAGCACTTCAAATAATTCTCAACAGATTGAGAAATAGGACCCTTAATCAGCTGCTAAAAACCAGCAGCAAGAGAGCGCTAAAGCAACAAAGCATACTTTCAGTAACTCCATAGAAAGGCGAAATCGTAAGGACCAGCGACGAGTCATATTAAACTACACCACAAAATGATTAACACATAGCAGGCTAAATCAGAATGAAGAGTAGTTTTAGTATGGGCTTACAAAATGAGAACAACTGTAAAACATACCTTGTCAATATTTACCGACAGAGAGATAGGATCTGTGCCACACAAAAAACAACGTTTTACAAGAATACGCATTTTTGAGAAGATAATAACTATTTGAACAAAGTGTAAGTTAATCTTCCCGAATAATTGTAGATACAAATGTTTACTTAGTTTACCTTCTTAATTATTTAGTTCATATTAGATAAAGAGGAATGTACACGTAAAATGGGAAAGAAGAAAAAGGCGAAAGCTGAAATTTTTTACTGTATTTATACGATCAGTGGTAGATATTAAAAACATTCCGAAGTTTGTGTAATGTAAGTTTGTTTGTTAATATGAGGAATGTGCAGCATACCTTTTTTATTCCTATTTTTGATCGCATAAATTAAATTTTTGTACCGTACCTTGATTTTATAGTTACGACGTTCCTAGTATAGACGAATGATAATAACAGCAAATTTAAAGAAAGATTTAGTAGATAAACTTCATGCTTTGGTTTGTCAACCCTTGTGATATAGGATAATGGATTGGCAATAAAATAAGTGTTTATGTTGTCTATCAATTAGACCTGTCTATAGAATTAGTGATCTAGACAGGATTTGATGGTTCAATTGATCGAAGGAATATAATTGCTGCAAAAAAATTAAGAGAACGGATATTGTCACTTTTTACATGGGATATTGGTATTGAATAAGCAAAATGTTGTTATGAATCAATTGCGAGATATTAGATAAAACAAAGTCTGCCATATAAGTGTTGGCTTATTCCGTGAGTGATGTGTTACTTTTATATATTAAATCTGTGTTTAACTGAAGGGGAATAGATGAACATCGTCCTAGTTCTAACGGACTATTGTTTGAATAGTGTCTATAACTTAATAGTATTACTGCAGTTGACAAATTTAATGGGCTATTCATTTATTGCGATAATAATTATCCTAAATCATTGTACACCATACTAAGGTATTTGTGACAAATGACCATTAGAATAGAGATTCAAATATGAGTCTTTATCTTTGTGTGCTATGTTAAAAGCCAGGTATACATTTCATTGTCATTTAGAAATAAATCAAAGTTAGGGACCATTGAGTTGTCTACAAGAAATATAATAAATTTGGATTAAGTATAGTTATTACACTTATACATATGTATATACTCTTCAAGAACTTGTTTAAATAGCTGGAAACGCTGTACTTGCTAAATATTTTATGACATTCGAAGCAGAATAAACAAAAATAGGAAATGTAAAGAAGCATGATAGATGTAGCTCTAATGGTTTTGTTATTTCTGCTTATGATAAACCTTTTAAATATATTATGAGCTTGTCTTTGAATATATGAAAGTTTTCTATACACGCAGTTTATATAATCACATTTACATCAGTACATTAAAAGCTCAGATGTGTTGCTAATCTTATTATTGTACAGCCTTCATTCAAAACTCAAATGGACATGAGTAAGACTTTATATAATTTCTGTCTGATTCCAACAGAAACAGTAGTAACTGGTAGACTTTAACATTGTATAATACCGCGAAAAGATTTAAAATAAATGCTTTTTCTTCTTTATTTTTAACGAACTCAGAAGGATGGTTTTGTAAATAGAAGTTATTACTTTTTATAAGACATACGTAGTTGAATTAATAGTATTTTCGTCACAATCTCAATTTTTTATAATATTCACTTGAATAATTGAATTAATTTGCAATGAGTAACGGAATACATTTATGGAGGACATACTAAATAAAAAATAGTACTATCATAACCTTGAGTTTCATACATAATAGCCTCAGTATGTCTGAGTAGATGGGTGTAATTATTTAGATTTTTAAATTAGTTGATCATTTACTTTATAACAAAATGTTTATTGAAGCAGTAATAAGCTATTTGCCCCAATTTTAAATCCTTACTTCTACATAAGTTATGGAATCAGAGACAATCTATATATGATTAAAAAACTACTTTGAGTGCGTATTATTAAGTGTATATTATAAAGGTATAAGTAATTAGAGAACGGCATACATGTATAAAACAGCATAGTATATAAAAGAGAGTAAAATAAAAGTGGCAGTAGCATAGAATTTTAACAAAAGCATAAAAAAGGGGGGTCATAAAAAAATTTAATATAAAAAAATTAAAAAGCATAAAGTTCAAAAAGATAGATGAATGGGCGATATAGTTACTCATCGTTATAATATGCATCATTGTACGAATCTCCCGAATCTTCTTCATCGTTAATTTCCATAGGAAGATCGTTAGAATCTCCAACATAACTAGACAAATCATCTGCTGTTCTCCTTCTCCAATCTTTTGCTAAAGGAAGGTAATATAATTCTATAAGTCTAGCGGCTCCTTTTTCATAGTCATTAAGATCAACGAGTGGATTTTTGCATAGTAAATCTTCAATATTTTTTTCGAAGTTTCTTGTATATTGCCATAATCTTTGAATTTCTCCCTGGATCGCCATTAATTTCTCAATATATAAATAGTTATTATCACGTATCGTATATCTATACCTGAACAATATCCATTTCCTCTTCAGCACGGCACCACTGAATCCACATTGCAGTTTTGTCTGTAATTGAAAGACCAAAACTTTCCAATAAATTTCGGCCTTCCTGATTATTGTTTTGCAAAGACTTGCATATTTGATCGGCCGGCAAATGGTCTATATGTACCATAAATTTACAGCGTTAAATATTATTTTCTTATTTATAATAGTTTTACTATTTGTATTTTGTATCTTTTACATACCGGACTCGGGAAAAAATGTATTAAACTCCTCAATACATGATTTCACTTTGGCAATGGCAGGAGAAATAGTGGCAGTAATTTTTTGTGCCAATGCATTACCAACTATATGATGAAATACAAAAAATTGATTTCAGAAATCATAAAATAGTATGGTAAGTAAATTTGAAATTCAAGAGAATTCTATTTTATTTTTTTACCTTTACGACTTAGTCTTTTTCTTTGAACACTGATACCCAAAACACCAGCACGAATTTGTGCCATCAATTTGGCTATTTCAATCAGCCTTCCAGCAGAAGACGAACTATCTGTATAAATTCCGCTTTTTACTGCTACAGCGGTCTTCCATGCTTCCTCATACTCGACGTATTTAATACGGTCAATACCAATTACTTTCAGGGCATCATTATGCAGAGCTTTGGCATTTTTCCATTTTTCTACGAGGTACGTCCCTACGAAAAATGACATCGATGTAAATTTACTTGTTAATCTGCTGTAAAATTATGTCCTCATTGTAATTATGTTACCCATTTTCAAATTTTTTGTAATCGTGAAGTGAATTACAGCCTGAGTAACTATTTGTTTTCGGTTGGATTTCCCATACTTCTGGTCATCGAAACAAATCCATCCAAGTAAGACCAATGTCTTTCTACGCCTAATTAATGTAAGATTAATATCTTTATTGTGTAGTTTTCATTGTATGCAATATATTATTTTTGCTTTTAATTACCTTCGCCGTCAGTATAGCCCCACCCTTTAATATATCGAGGATGAAAAAGAGCTTGACATTCCCAAATATGCGCGAAAGCGTGAAATACACTTACCGCAAAGCGGGATTCCCTTTCCTCCAAGAAAGGAAAAAGTCTCTTAATACAAAAGAATTTCGGGATGTTGATTAAGCTAAGTAGTTCATTCAAATCTCCTAAATGTATTACCTTAAATGATGGATGTACCAAGCAACATATATCATACATGATATCAATAGGAAGTTTTTCTGAATTGTTTTGTTCTACCAGGGCTACAGAAGCTAGAGCAAATTTGTGTCTTTACACATTAATGTAATTTAACATTAGTAAAGAAAAGCATGATCTGTGGTTTTATCATTATTTTGTGCTTACCCTTCTCCCTCAAACACATCAAAAATATGCTTGACAATTCCATGCCTAGCACAAGAACAAATAAAAAGACCGTTTTCATCGAACACATTAGATTTGTCTCGTGCATCTGCTGATGCTTTAAAATTTCTTTCCAACAGTGAAAGATCACACTAAGGAAAGTCGAATAAAAACTTTAGTAATCTCAATAACTGTGTTGTAACTGAATACAAAACCTTCTTAATTTCATTTTTCTTCTTTTCATTCGTCGTAGCAAACTTATCAACAAACTCTTGCTTGCACCAAAGACGACTTTCCTCCTTAAGCGCAAAGATTTCGGCCGTATTCTCGTTTTTGCGTTTTTGACGCTTCAACGAGAAATTGGCATCCATAGTAACCATAATACGTTCCGAGTTCTAATAAGATTGAGAATGCGCTTTCTTTTGTCTCAATAGTACTTTAATTTAACGTATCACCTATCGTGCATGCACTACACTCCGTTGGTAGCAGGTTACTAATCTCAAACCTTTCCTGGATAAACTCTTCGGCATATTGTTCAAGGCGAGAGTGGATATAGTACGATCTACTTAATACTGCCTTAGAAAGAGGAATAAAGCTCTAATTTTACAATTAGTAAAGAGCCATAATTTTCGTATGGAAATAATACATAAAAACATACATCAGGCACCCAATTACTTTGTTCAGGTATGCTGCCATACCATGAATCGAGACCTTGTTTATCATTTGCATGTCTTTTATTTCTCTCAAAAGAGAGAAGGATACACCAACAATCTGTCTCTTCGGAGAGCTGGGCATTATTTGCATTTGCATCATAGTCTTCAACAAATTTCTACAGTGACAATGCTCTATTGTTTCAATCTTGTGGGCTACCAGTAACCGCAATACATAATTAGTTTTTTTTTTTAAAAAAAATAGATATTTTGCATTCAAGACATACCGTGTTGATAATATACTTTTACTTGACTAAACATTGCTTCTCCGTTGCATTTTAAACTGTGGTTAATAATTCTTGGTAGTTGTCGCAATGTTACTGCCGTGGGCTTTTCGATACCATACATCATAGAGGTCAAGTATTGATCCCTATAAAATATTTTGTACTTGTTCCAGCTGTCAGTTGTAATACTAGATTTAGATTTGTTTGGTCTAGTATTAAAGTATTCGACGCCGGGTGATAGTTCTTCTTCTTCTTGCTGTTGTTGCTGTTGTTGCTGTTGTTGCTGTTGTTGCTGTTGTTGCTGTTGCTGATATTGTTGCTGTTCTTCATCATCGCGTGATCTTATATGATCCTGCTCAATACTGTCGTCAGATGCTACATCGCAGTAGCCAAAGGAATCATCATTGTTATCACCATCACCATAGTCTGAATCGTCATCATCAAAAGCGCTCATATCATATACTCTTTCAGTTCTAGGACCAGGTTTACAGAATGAGGAACCAGTTTTCTTTGCTTTTCTTTTTAAGTAGTTAATCCTATTTTTAAATTTTTTGTTGTTCTCTATAATGCAAGGACAAACTCCACCCTCGTCAAGAAATTCATATACGTAATCCTGCTTGAGTTCCAATACATCGCAGCTTTCATAGGGTTCATACATACAAAAACAATGACCAGAAGGTAGAAGTCTAGGATCGTATCCACGGTTAGGAGTGTTTTTGCTTTTTGGCATAAGTTTTTATTTTATTTTTTATGTAAAATTAAGAGAAGGGAGAGAAAGACTGACCGACTTTAAAAAATCTTGCTTATCGTACAACACAATTTTGTCTTATACATAGAGTTTACTTCGTAAGACATCAACATTATGCGCTAGAGGTATATGTTTGTTAAAAAAGTACATGAGAGAAAGAAGGGGAATTTCGGTTTTTAGAAATATATACGGTGTATTTAATTTATGCACTATTCATGCATAACATACTGATGACGATGTTATCGTTTTCGTTGGGGGGTCATTATCTTTTTCCAGTGTGACATTATTTAAAACCCAAAATGACATTCTGTCCTAAAAAGCGAAATTACAGAACATAATTCCCTTCTTTTGGGGGTGAATTGCATTAATGTAATTTTATACAATTTCGGTACATCAGCCTTATATTTGTTTACCCTTATTTCAAAGTTTTAGTTTTTTATACAGCTTCTTAGCGGGATTTTGAATTAGAACGTATGCTGTATCTACCTAACCTATTTATTATAGCACATAGTAAAGGATTATTTACAGTAGAATCTAATTTGCAGGTGATCTAGATATCATCTATGTGATTTTTAAAGAAATTCGTACATGTTAATCCAGTGGGGATGCTATTCTTTCTCATTTATATAAGCATTTTTTGGCATGTGAGTTTTAAGCAGCTAGTTTTTTTACAGGGTAGGTAGATAAAAACTACCACTTTTGTCAGTGTGATAGTTTTTGCCATTCTCAATTAGACCCTTTTTTAACATTTTTTTAACCGGTGACTGTTATCTAATTGATATTGTAACTAGCGATACTAGGTCAGTATTCTCACTGCTGTCATATTTATCATATGTCAGCTGGTAATTTCAGAGTTCACGTAACACCAACTGCCTATTCAAGTACGGGTTGTTTATTATATTCTCCTTACTGCTCCTTGCGGGTTTATTGACAGCTTGAACAATATTTGGATATAATCTACCCACGATGGCAGGGTCCCGCTTGTAGTTTTAGTTGTATTCATTATGTATAAAAGAAATCATTATTTTTGTGTTCAATAAAATTTAGTTCCTTTTTGCAATCTGGTTAATACTTTGTCTTATTTTCTATTTTGGATTTTTCGATTTTTCAGCAACACGAGAAGAGACCAAGAAAACAGGAACACGAACACAGACACAGACAACAGAAATATATCACCTCGCACTGAGTACAAATTGGTGACCTGCAGCACAATTGACCAAAACGAGCTGAATCTAAACTTGTGCTCAGACACAAAGTATTACTCTTTACGACCTACAGTGTCACTACAAGGGAAGTACGAATATCAAAGGTGAGGCAAGACTTGCACGAGAGCAAAAACACAAAGGAAACAAAGACAAACACCAAGAAAAACGAAAACAAAACCACCTTACATTCACCTCATCCCGACATTCCACACCAACCAAAGAGGATTTACCAGAAGGATAAAAAACGACTCTCGCTTCGGCCGAAGGTTTACGCGCTCACGTGAAAGTCATGTGATCGGCTCAATTTGAACAACCGACAAAACCAGAAAAGCATATGACAACACTGTCAGAACCAATCCGGCCAATGAAATAGTTCCGGCACAACAGCTCGGTACCGAGAACTACTATGACGCAATGGAACTCAAAAGACCCAAACGAAGGTTTAAACCAAAGGTCACGAAAGCAAGACCAAACAAGAAATCAAAACTATATGTCATAAGAACAAACAAGCAAAGCCATAAACTAATTTAGCATAAAACAATTACACACATATGAAACATCAATCAAATTAGATAGTATAAATAACCCCACATTATAATTAGTAAATCTTTATCTTTTATCTCATACTTTATTTTGTACTTGTACTTTGAAGAGTACTCTTCTGGCCAATAGGAATAGGTTCACGTGATAGTCACGTGCTAGGTTATTACGTAAGGGTCAACTAGACATCTGAGGATTACAACACTGTAAGTTTCAAGGTATATTATAATTCAACTCTCAGTGGTTAATTATAAAGAATAGTCAAAGAAGTATTTAATGTCAAAATAAAAGATAATGATTTATTAATAATACAAGTTGGTTATTTATACTTGAGATAAATGATAGTGTGATAATGAATATAGTAATTGTATGAACAGGTGATGTCTTGATAAGTTGAGCACCTGTTTAATATATATGATGAAGAGATAGTAATCCCGAGAGGTATGATATTGATTTAATAAAAGTGGTGTTATTATTGTTTCCGCTTCTTTGACCTTGTATTGTTTTTAGTAAGTGGTACGAACTTCCTCTTCTGATATTTGGTCTTCTTTAGCCTGATTTCTAGTTCTACCGGAATATCCATGTCGATGTCCGTGTCTACCGGAATGGTGCGAGTCGGACTGCTTGGTACTTTCATCGTAGGCATCTCTACCATTCTGGTACAAACAACACTATCAGTCTTGTAGTAGGTTAAGTAGTTGTTTGGGATGGAGATAAAATGTAAATTAAGGTAACAAAAGAAAATACTGTTAGAACTGTGTATATCTTTTATTTCAAGAAAATTTCGATTTGGGAATTCTACTGGCAAAAACTACAGGTATTTATACTAAATGATTAGATGGCTTTCGGATAATATATGTGACGCGTTAGAGAAATATGATATAATGTTATACGTAATGTCTGTTTAAATAAATATGTTATGAAGTAATTCCTGCCTTACAAAGTAAAGACAAAAGTACGTGAGGATCTAAATTCATCTCCGCAGGTGACATTACGTAAATGCCAAAGAGAAAGTTTAGTGCGTGTAATATTCAGTAACCGAATATTCCGCCTATGGGATTGTACTATACTTTTGTGGTATTATAATATTTTACTCGTCACAAGGCAAATCACCTGGTGCACAGACACCAACGGTTCTGATGATAACAAATGGGGCGAAGTGTAAGCCATGAATATTTATACATGATCATCCATTATTATGTAAAATGTGATGATTCTTTTATTATAATCTATGACATCCTCAACAGTAGTGTATGTAAGATTCAACTCTGAGTGGTTAATCAGTAAGTAAGTAAGCAAGTACTTGAAATTATAAAATAGAAGATAATGTTTATTTGATACAAAGCTAGGAGCTATTTATACTAGTTTGGGGAATATATAGAATGAGATAATAATGTGATGATATAATGTTGATATGTATGGTGATAATATAATAAAAGTATGGTGATAGATATAAAGATTGATTGTGATAAATATAAGTAATCAGGTTATTGAATGTAGAAGCAGTGTTGTGATATTTATAATAAAGTGGTGTTACTTCTTTGGCCGTTTTCTATTGGCATTGGTTATCTTGGGTACAAACTTCCTTTCTAGAAGTTTAGCTTTCTTTAATCGAAATTCGATCTCCAGAGGCATTTCAACGTCCATGGTAGAGTCCGGGTCGGGTGCAAGAGTCCGGGTCGGAATGTGGCTTAGAGAAGCATCAGAACCATGGACAATTGTGGGCTTGACAACACTGTAAGTTTCAATATAATTCTAATTCAACTCTCAGTGGTTAATTAGAATGGGAAAGTAGTTAAAGAAGTATTTAATATTCAAATAGAAGATAATGGTTTATTGTTCTAATGTTAAGGGATACAGTATATATACTAAATGTAAAGATATAGGTGATGTGATAAATATAATAAATATAATGATGATGATGATGATGATGATGATAATGATGATGAATAATATAAACAGGTTATCGATATGAAATAGGTGAACCCGAAGTGGCGTTATGTTGTATATAATAAAGTGGTGTTATTCAGCGTTGACCTTTTCCGATTCATATGATTATTCTTGAGTGGTACAAATCGTCTTTTCTGGTTCTTGGTCTTCTTGAGCCTAAGCTCGATTTCTAGAGGCATGTCTACGTCAAGGTCCGGACCTCGGGTCGGACTAACCCGGCTAGTCACGTGATTCTTTGAGGCATTAGATCCATCAACATTTACAAGCTTGACAACAATGTAAGTTTCAATATAGTTCTAATTCAACTCTCAGTGGTTAATTAGAAGGGGAAATAGGTAAATAAGTATTTAATACTAAAATAGAAGATAATGGTTTATTGTTCTAATGTTAAGGGATATATATACTAAATGTAAAGATATAGGTGATGTGATAAATATAATAATAAGGTATGGTGATGGTAATAATAGTAATAATAGTAATGATGATGAGTAATATAAACAGGTTGTTGATGTGAAATAGGTGAACCCGAAGTGGCGTTATGTATATACATTTAAGTGGTGTTATTCGGTTTGGGCCTTTTCCTATTCATGTGATTATTCTTGACTGGTACAAATCTCCTTTTCTGGTTCTTGGTCTTCTTAAGCCTAAGTTCGATTTCTAGAGGCATGTCTACGTCAAGGTCCGGACTTCGGGTCGGACTAACCCGGCTAGTCACGTGATTCTTTGAGGCATCCGATCCATCAACATTTACAGGCTTGACAACAACATCAAAGCGCTCTTGGTTTAGTGGTAGAATTTCACCCTTCCAAGGTGAAGGCCGGGGTTCGATTCCCCGAGGGCGCACAACTTTTATATTTTTTAGGCTTTTTTTTGTCGTGTCGGAGTACAAAACATGTTGATTGTCAGTGTCGTGATAGTTGTTATAATGTCAGAAGATTTATAATAGATATAGTTATGTAGACTAGTAATGAAGTAGTAAAAAGATGATCTTTATTAAATTGAGATTCTGAATAAGTTTTATAATTGATACGGAGTTTCTACTAAAATAAGTGTGACAATATCCCCTCCCTAAAATGTTGTAAATTTAAGCTAACGATGACATTTTGGAAAAAAAAAAATACAAAGTATAAGATTAATAAGATAATTATGTTTAAATGATAAAGAGGGAGTTGTCTTTGTGGTTGATAAGTGTGAGATATATTTTTATATATGTTTTTTTTTTTTTTTTTTTTTTTTTTTTTTTGTAAGTTGTAATATTTATTGAGCTCTTGCAGTACGAGGAATATACCAGCTGGCTGAAATGTTGGAGTTATTAATGTTGATAGGCTTTAATCTGTCTGTGTGGACCCAGGAACTGTATATTTGACCTTCAATTTCTTTGATTTGATAGACGTTGAAGTCAGTGTTGCAATTGATAATGGTATGGACCCATCCAATTGTATTCTAGTCCCTTTTTGGATTCGTTGCGAAGTAGAACAAAGTCGTTTTTGTTGAAAATCTGTACCTCTTTACCTTTTATCAAATTATCCCATCTTTCTTTATCCTTTATACCTTGAATCCTCATGTTCTCCTCAGCTACAAAGCGGGCTTCGCGAAGGTGGCGTATTCGTGTAAGAGCATCTTCTGTGATTAAATTAGCATCAAATTCGGTAATTTCATTCATATATGGACGGTGAAAGTCGCCTGGAATTCGGGGTTGTGTACCGTAAACTAGAAAGAATGGACTGTGTCCTGTTGTTGTATGTTTTCGAATACGACAAGCAAAGGTAGTTGTGTCAATATACTCGTCCCAACTATGTACGTCACCGTTAACATATTTTTTTAACATATTTTTGATAATCTGATTTAGGCGTTCACATTTAGAATTGCTTCTTGGGTGATATGCGCTGGTGAATGTATGTTTTGATCTGATTTTGTTCATGTATTGTTTGAGAACCTTTGACATAAAGTTTTTACCTCGGTCCGAAAAAATTTCTACAGGGTTGCCAAACTTTAAGACAATTTCTTCATAGATAAATCTTACGATTTCATCGCCAGTTGCATTTTTGAGAGCTCGGATAATGGGCCAATTGGTTGCGTAATCCACAGCTACTAATATCCATCTGTTTCCATTTTTTGTTGTGGGCAATTCACCTATAAAATCAAGATGCCAACGAGAGAAAGCAGGAGGAACATCGAGAGGTTTCATTGGTGAATGGTGAATATTTTTCTCTGAACGACTTGAAAGTTGACATTGTGGACAGAATTTTAACCACTCGGTAATATCGTGTTGCATACCAGGCCACCAGATTCTGGATTTTAATTGATGATAAACTGAAATTTGGCTAAGGTGTCCATAAGCAGCATGAAAATCATCGATCAAATCGGCACGTTGGTGAAAAGGAATAAATTTGAGTTCGATAACCTCATCGGTTTTGGGAGTTTTGGATAATTTGTATATGTGTTGATTCTTTACTAAAAATTTAGGTTGCTGTTTGAGTAAATCTTGATGTAAGGAAGGAGGCCATTGCTCCGGATTGCGAAAAAATAAAAGTGGCCAATCTTGAATAGGGTCGTCTTTAATAGATTTGACGGCTTTGCTTAATGATTTAGAATTATTAGTAGTAACAGTATTATAAAGATATTTTGGTTGTACAGATGTATTTGCAGGGATGCAGTCAGGAACATCTCTACGCGATAGTAAATCTGGAATGATATTGTCCTTACCAGCCTTATATTGAATGTCAGGATTGTATAATTCAATTTCAGACATCCATCGAACTAATCTAGGTACAGGATGTTTTTGATCACGATAATATTTGAGGGGTAGGTGATCAGTGAATACAGTGTATGATTTTCCATCAATGAAACAACGCCATTTTCGTAATGCAATTAGAATGGCTAGCATTTCACGTTCTTGAGCTGGATAAACACGTTCCTCTTTACTGTAACGCTTACTTTCAAATGCTAATGGTCGCCATTGCCCATCTTGATCTTGTTGTAATAATACAGCGCCAGCAGCAAAATCGGAACTATCACATTCTATGCGGAATGGCTTATTCATATCAGGTGTCAGTAGGAATGGAGCCGATGATAATTTATCTTTCAATAATTCAAAAGCAGTTTGACATTGTGGTGACCAGACAATTGAACGCGTTTTATAGCCAGTACCAGCAGTTAGATCAGTGAGGGGTGAAGCGATATGGGCAAAATTTGGTATAAATCGACGATAATACTGAGTAAGGCCAAGAAATTGACGAACTTGCTGTACGTTTTTGGGGACAGGCCAGACACGAATTGCATCGGTTTTTTGTTGGGATGGGGAAATGCCATTTTTTGAAATATGGTATCCTAAAAATGTTAATTCTTTCATGTTGAAATGTGATTTTTTAATATTGATTACAAATTTTGCTTCATCAAGTTTCTGCAATACTTGTTTAACGTGATCTTTGTGTTCTATTTCGTTTTTGGAATAAATCAACAGATCATCAACATATATGATTACAAATTTATCGACAAAAGGTTTCAGAACCTTATTGATGACATCTTGAAAATATGGGCCAGAGTTCTTTAATCCAAATGGCGCTACTAAAAACCTGTGTTGACCGAAACGATGTGAAATAGTTGCCTTCAGAGAATCGGATTCAGACAATCGAACTTGGTTGAATGCGCCAATTAAATCAATTTGTGAGAAACATGTACTATTATGTAGTTGATCTAGACATTCATCTATTCTTGGAATCGGTATTCTTTGTGCGATAGTGATTTTGTTGATACTTCTGAAATCACAACACATACGTAATTTTGGTGTGCCATCAGAATTTTTGGCTCCAGCCTTTCGTACAAATAAAATTGGGAATCCGTAAGGGGATGCTGTTGGTACAATTAATCCTTTCTTTTCTAAATCAGCTAGTTGTTTCTTCAATTCAGTAAGTTCAAGTGGACTCATACGATATGGTTGATGATAAATAGGCGGAGCATTTTGTGGATCAGTAACAATAATATCTCTGGTATGTCTATGTGGTGGTAATTCTGTAACATCACCCTTAAAAGCGTATGGGTATAATTTAGCAAATTCTTCTTTCCATTCCTTATCTAATTGCAAATTGGCTGCTGAGATCGGTGATATGGGAGTGATTGTTGCATTATTGCCAGTGGCTTCATCTATAAAATTTACTACGAAACATTCTTCTATTTGTTCCTTTTTAAACCATCGAGCCACTTGCGTAGCTGAGGCTAGGTAGTCAACATTGAAAGTGTCATTGGGATTAGTAGTATCTTTGTGTGAAATAGTTTTTATAGTGTTTATCGATCTTGTATTTGCTATTTTGATAGGATGAATTTTAATTGTTTTGTTAGTGTTTTTACCTTTGATTTCCCATGTATCGTCAAACCAATCCGGTAATGGTGCAGTATCTTTCAACCATTTACGACCAAGAATGATGTCAAATTTGGATTCAAATACATAAGCCGATATAACCTCTTGGTGTTCATGCTTATCGCCTAGAAACATACGAAATGTAATTCGCTTGTTGATATTAGACTGCTTTCCATCCGCCGTTTCAACTGCTTGGTTGTCAACATTGTTAATATTTAATGCATGTGATATTAATTTGGGATGAACATAATTTGTACTGGCACCACTATCAATGAGAACTTTAAAATTAGATCCACCCACCATGGCATGGTATAGAGGTAACCCATTTGAAGCATTATCCAAATTGTTTAAGAAGGACCAGTCAAGAGATAGGCAGTTATGAGTTTCAGCAATGCTTTTAGGTGCTAGGACAGGATACGAATAAGAATCTTGACTATCAAAATCAGATAAGTCAATTAAACTTTTATTATCAAGATAAGTGTCAGCGGTAGAAGATTTTGCATTATGATTGTTATTTCCATTATTATGAAGAGGGTCATAAGCATCCAATAAAGCATTAAGCTGTTGGCGAAAATTATTAGGTTTTGGATGTGAATTATTCATGGTAGGACGAGATTGTTGTGTACGATAGTTATTAGTTGATCGTTTGGCTTGAAATATACCACGATTTTCATCCCATTTTTTATTACGGCATTCGTGTTTTTTATGTCCCACTTTGTTACAGTAAAAACATACAATAGAAGCGTTAGTGTTTTTGTTGTTGAAATTGGGTGATTTTTGTCTGCTGAGTAGATTGAGTAACATTTTATTTTGCTCCTTTAATGCGGCGACAGAAAGATCCATGGGGTCATCCAAAATAACATTTGTTGGTGGAACTGACTGATTTGAAATAGGAGCAGAGTGGTTGTATTGTATGGCTGATTCAAATGTTCGGGCACATTGGTACATACTTTCCAGATCGATGGGATCCTTCAATAATACATGTGTACGTGCCTGATCCTTAAGACCACGCGAAAATTTGTCCATTGCTTCATCCTCAGCGATATTCAATTCTAATAAAATATTTTGAAAGTCATTGATATATTGTTGGACTGATGATGTTTGTTTAAGTTCAAAGAGTCTATCTCTTGTCGATTGCAAAGTATATTTCGGCTTAAATTCTATATCCATATTATTATATAAAAATAATAGGAATCGTAACTACGCAGTCACAAGGCGAGCTAATTTTCAGTCACAAAAGTTACAAAAGTTAGAATTTTTAATGGGGGTGCGGGGGTTTCCCCCGCAAGAGGGGTGGGGGGTTTGGGGGGAGGGGGAACCCCTCCCCCCAAGAATACGGCCCATAGTATTAGCATGAAAGAGCTTATATCGTATAAAACAGTATTTTTTTTTTTTTTTAGCAGTGTAACTTTTAAGCAGTGATAAAAAAAATTGGGGGTGCGGGGGTTTCCCCCGCAAGAGGGGTGGGGGGTTTGGGGGGAGGGGGAACCCCTCCACCCAAGAATACGGCCCATAGTATTAGCATGAAATTGTTACCTTCTGAAAAACAATGTACCTTTTTTTTTTCTACAGCATAATATCTTAAAGTATAATTTTTTTTAATACTGTGAATTTTTTTACAGCCCTATGTTTTTAAAGCGTTATTTTTTTTTACTTCGTAATATTTTTTAGCAGAGGTACAAAATAAGAGGCTGCGAAAAACCCTCCTTCTAAGAATACGACCCATAACATTAAGCATTAAACTGAAAAAAGAGTTTATATAAAAATTGACTATTTTGGAGAGAGTCATAATATAAAAGTGACTTTTACTGAAAAAGACATTCAAAAAAAAGTAACTATGGAGGTTTTGTGGCAAAGGTTACCCTTCGCCCCAGTATAGCAGCCAATAGCATTAAACATTATATTATCGAGGTTAGAGAAACAGTGTATGAACACGTTTTCACAAACAGTATGTTATTATTCGAGAAGAACTGAAAAATTGTTTGTTTTAGGTCGATGGAGGGGTCGCCTTTGAAATTAATATTTTGGATTATGAAGCCTTTCGTTATGAAGCAAAAACATTGCGCATAAAATAGTTAATCAGATATATAAACAACTAATACTTTTTGCGTAGATCAACTTTCTAGCCTGGGTCTAGGGATATCGTCTTTTATTTAAACATATAATGAGAAACATCAAAGTTTTCTCCAGTGTCAAACTGATAATCAGCAGTGTAGATTAAGTTATAATGGCGCGTGGGCTTCATGGTTAATAAATATATGTTAAGTTTTTGATTTCAAAAACAGGCCTGCGGCAGCACGAGGCTTTTTCAAAGCGCAGCGTACCGAACCATAGTGCAGGTCAAAAATTTACCGCAGCGCAGCGAAGGTCAAAATTTTTACCGAAACGGAGGTTTGGTTTGAAAAAGCCTCGTGGGCTTTAAACATTTCCCATGTTGTTAAATCATATGTTTTCTTGACTCTATAGTACCACAAGCGTGCATGATCAGTTAGTAATGATATGGCGTAAGTTACCCATCGGGATTTGTCAAATTTGTTAAAGTTTAAATAATGTTCCACAGATGTGTACCAATTATCAATTTTGGTCACATCTCTTGTTCCATCATACAAGGGTGGTGTTGGGATTTTAACATGCCCATTATCAGATTGCTGTGATGGTTGCTGTAATTGTTGTTGTTGCAATAAAGCCGTTAAGAGTTGCATAATATCACCTTCGGCGTATGTTTTTGGAGGTTGATTTGTATTCTCCATTTCAATGTCCTCGTTTATGGGTTTTTGATTTTGAATTTTGTAATCTTTAAATTGTTTTAATACTGTGTGAATTCCTTTATATATTGTAAGCTTGTCTGTTTTGCTATAATTAGTGTGTTTATGTTTATTATCTATTATAATTCCTCTGGTTGTAATGAATTCTTCCAATGTTTTTTGTTCTGTTACTGTTAATTTTCGTTTGATTTCTTTGATTATTTCTTGAATTATATGTGTAGGATACTCGAATATGTTTTTATCACTACTTGACGACGACGACATTCGCACAGAATGATCGATTTCAATATTATATTTTTACTGGTGCTACCAATTGTCAGAAGATTTATAATAGATATAGTTATGTAGACTAGTAATGAAGTAGTAAAAAGATGATCTTTATTAAATTGAGATTCTGAATAAGTTTTATAATTGATACGGAGTTTCTACTAAAATAAGTGTGACAATAATATTTGGCTCTCTCCTTATGGCTGTAGTTTTTTCACCCAACCAAATTTTAATAAATTCTGTAAATTTCAATCTCAAGCCAATCTTCTCTCTTAAATTTCTGTAAGTTGAGATTCAGAGCCAATTAAATGTCTGTATTTTCTGTAACTTTCGTACCCGCAGTGGATATTGCCACGAGGATCAATCACTATAAATGTTGATTTAAATGCTGTACATAACACTTTTCTCTCTTCAATTACATATTAAATGAAACCGACAAAAAAAAGTCTTGGAAAGTCTACTCTTCCCAAGAGGAATACATCAATTCTGAATTTTTTATCAAAAAAATGTGAAGTAATTGATGATCAAAGTACCCTAGATGGATCTCTTGTCCATGAAGGGTCGTTGGATGAACCTGAAGTATCCACATCTTCCGGAGATTCCATAATACCAAACAGTGTACAAGTTGAGGTAAACTCCCAACATTATTTTAGTCGAATCAAGCTAAAAACATATTTTCTAATTATAGCAAAGCGCTACGTCCGAGGTCGAAGGAATACATTACCTTGTGGATGAAGAAAGCACCGACGAGTAAGAGTTTATAGATTAGGCCTATATAAATAATTGGGACTTTAGATTAACTGTATATTTTACAGTGCGATTGTGGAAGAGGAGTATGAAATAACTGAAGAAGAGTTTTTGAATATTGATGAAGATGCAGGCAAAATCACCAAGGGTGGTCCATTGGATAAGTATCTTCAAAAAATCCAATTAGAATGTGATGTGCGTAATCCGTACAAGAACGGTACATACTGGATCAATCCTATGATGTCAAACTTCGCCTTGTCAAAAAGGCCCTCCCCGGAAGCCCTTTATTTGCCTAAAGTATTTATTTGGCTGCCTCATGCATTGTTAAATACTAGAGATGATAAATTGAAGTGCGTAACTCCAGGTTGCACAAACCCCTTGAACAAGAAAAGTTTTTTGGATGACCCCAAGGCGCGAAAAATTGTGGATGTGCATGAGTAAGTTATTTGTTCCCCGGTATACATATTTATATTAAATCTGGTGTATCTAACTATTTTTTTTTAGAAATTTTTACTTGATGACATATCGTTACGAATGTCCAAACAAGGAGCATGGTACATGTATTGGATCTGACAAACGAATAATTGAGCAGCTGCCTATCAGATTTCAGCTGGATTTCCCTGCTCATTTGACCCACAGATCAGGAATATCTAAAGATTTGGGTAAGCTGCTGAGGGCTGGTGCACAAAATTCTCTTGGTCCAAGCAAGGTCAGTCGCCTTTTAAGAGAATTCCATACTCTTAGACACGACGAAATCGAGCTTCGTTATCTTGACTCGTTAAAGCACACACAAAACAACACGTTGGTGGGATTATGGAATACAAAAGCCACAGAGAGTACCGAGTTTTCTTCATTTGGTGACAAGGAACATTACGCCGGATCAATTCCCTCCGCAAGTTATCTTAGTTTTGTATATTGCTCGATCATAAATGATCTTCGGCCTTTCATGGACCAAATGACATCGTCATTGGGTGGAGAAGTTCTTAAAGCCGATCACTCTTTCAAGATTTTGGATCATATGGGAAAAATCAATGGTGTTTCTGTTTTTGGTGCTCTCTATACAGTGTGTAACGAATATGAAGAAATTCGGGCCCAAGCTTTAGTTCCGACTAAAGCTCATAGTCATCTTCAACCTGTCTACGATAAATTGATTGAAAGCTACAATATCTATGGTTGCAATCTCCCAAAGTTTGTCTTCACTGATAATGTTACTGCAGATCAAAAATTTCTCGAGTCTGTGATCCCAACATTGAAAGAAAATGTTTCACACTATTCAAAAAAAAAAAATTGATCAAAAGGGCAAGGGAAAAGAAATTGCTGCTGCAAGCACTTCTAATGAAAACCAGCATCAAGACAACGCAGAAATTTTAAATGAAACTGATCAAATGGTGCAAACTGATCTGGCTCTTCCGATGTATACCCTTCCTTTAGATGTCAAAGTCTGTGTTTTAGATAATCTGACAGCTATTAATTCAGTACTCAATGATCTGATTAAGATATCTGAAGATCGTGGCCCATTATGCGTTGGATTTGATTGTGAATGGTACTTCAACCGGTCTCCATTTTCAATTGGTAAAGTGGCTCTGGTTCAAATTGCTCACGAAAATAACGTCTGGCTTATAAGATTGAACAAGTTTAACGAAAACAATTTTCCAAAGGCATTGAAGATCTTTTTAGTTGATGATAAAATAATTAAAATTGGCCGGGCAGTTGGTGGAGATATGAAAAAATTGGAGCGAGACTTCAAGCTGAGCGAGGGTCATGGGAAGTTAGAATTGGGGACTTATTGTAAGAGCAAAGGTGCAATTGAAAAAGCAAACGTTGGGCTGGATTTTATTTGTTCCGCCGTTCTTAAAAAGAAATTACCCAAAGATAGCAATTCACCAAGACTTAGTGATTGGTGCTCCACCAGTCTGTCAGAAAATCAAATCAACTATGCCGCATGCGATGCCTATGTATCATTGGAAATATTCAATTTTTTACAACATGTTACTCCAATTGGTACTCAAATTTTTGAAAATCCTAACCCAAATACCTTTGTATCTGTTCATGTCAAAGGAAGCAAACCAGCTTGTGCTTTTGGTTACACTACGGTGCCTACTGACACAATGCATAGTATGAAGAACAAAGCGGTAATTAAGATAACAAAAATTGCTATTCCTGGTACCACGATGATTGACTCTTTCGACAACACCAACAACAAATCCCTGAGTGATTTTGGTGACACACCTTTTGAAGTTGTAATTGATTTAAATCATTACCAGCTTTTTATTGCTAGTGAAGATTGTCTTGAAAATACAAGTAATCATGCAAATCGCCCTGAAGAAACTCTGGATACCAGCTTAAACAACTCTGATGCTCAAAACATTTTACCATCAAGAGTACTTAAAGATGTTTTCCATCTCATGGATATGATCCCGATTCAAAAAACGCATGGATTTTCCAAAGAATTCTCAAGAAAGTTTAGAGATGTCTTGTTTGTAAATGACCCGGAAGATGAAAGACTTGTGACGGAATACTTGAAAACTAGAAACATATCTCTAGAAAAAATGATGGTGAAAAATTCCGACTGGGTGCTCAAGAGAGTTAGACGATATGTCCCCAGTCCATCCGAGCTATACCCTGTCGTGAAAAAGCTTTTTGAGGTGTATGGAAATGCCATTTGTTCTGTCTCTGGAAACAAGCTTTTTGACAAAAAGGCTTGGAAGGTGTCAAACATGGTACTTGAAGCCATTCGACTTGGGCATGTCTCGGATCCTCCTGGTGTCTCTTGGTACTATCGAATGAGCAAAGATCAAAATGGTCTTCAGGTGTACAGATGCGTGAGAGGCACAAATTCTGTTGAAGGAGGTGTCCATCAGAATATCATCCGAAAATTCTCGTCCTTCAATGCCAGTCCCGCTCTTACCGACTGTGTCTTAGCAGATTACCGTCTCCGTCACAACATAACAGTAAGCTGCTATAAAAATAATTAATAGTACTTATGAGTACTTCATCTAATGTCACCTTGATTTTTAATTTAGGTTGGGTCAAAAAACAGATACGGCGTTATTCACAAGACCCATTTCTCGCCTTGGATCAACCAAGCGATTAATTTTCTCAGGGCTGAAATGAAACAAAATGTATTGCCCTCCTATAGTGATTCAAGTGGAAATACACTCTTTCTTGCCGCATCTTCAGAAACGTTCGGTATTTGTCGTATGCCAGAACAGCTTATTGACACATATCATATGCAACGTAATACTACAAACTATGATAATGGTAACTGCTATCAGAAATTCGAAAGTATGACCGTCAAAAGCAAGCTAGTTCTATGTGTCAGTCCAACTGTACAAGTTACAAACAGAAACAAGTCCGTTTTTGGTGGTTTGCAACATCTGTATCTCTCTTATATGCTAGGAACAAAGATAGCCGTTACTCCAGTTCATACTGAAGAAGAAATGGAGTTGTATCTGTTATTACGAAGAAATAATCCTTCGCTTGCAAATCAAGTGTTCTCTGAAAAAACATGGCAAGATTTCACCATCTTATGGTCTCAGCAGTGTAATGATGGCAAGAAAAAAAATATTTTTTACAAAACACCAGAAAATCTACGTCATTACTTTAATCAAAGAGAGGATCAAAGCAGATATCTCAACTCAGTAATTTTAAACAAAGAAAGAGTTGACTCTGCTTCTACCTTGATTAAAGAATCATACGAAAAAAGACCACTCGAAGAAGCTAATCGTTTCCTCCTATTACCAGGACAAACAATCATGCCAAATATTCAAAACTCAAAAGAAATACATCAACAAGATAACGCTTCGTCGACATCCAAACCTCTTCCTAAAATTATGCCATCTCAATACATCTATGCACAAAACTCCAATATGCCTCCCAATTTTAACTATTCTATGCACCCAAATAACATGTTTCCATCTCGCCTACCTCAAAATCTTATGCTTCAAAACCTTATGTCTCAAAACCTTATGTCTCAAAACCCTATGCCTCATAACCCTATGTCTCAAAACCTTATGTCTCAAAATCCTATGCCTCATAACCCTATGCCTCATAACCCTATGCCTCATAACCCTATGCCTCATAACCCTATGCCTCAAAACCCTATGCCTCAAAACCCTATGCCTCAAAACCTTATGAATCTACCTTTAAGCCCATCACATACAACGTCACGAAAACATCGACTCCTTTATTCCAATACACCACCACCCACTGTAATGTGTGAATCAAACCCTAAGCGAAAAAAAACAAGAACATGTGCACTTTGCCATAGCAATATCTGCCCCGGAAGCTCTAAAAGAAAATATTGTACATATAAGCCTCAATAAAGTATCTAATTCATCTCTTAAATTCAATTATTTGTCGACGATCCGACTTTTAAATTTTTCTAGGAGGGCCTACCGGCCCTCTCCTCAACATTTTAATTAATTTTTTTCCAACTACAGACATGGTCACAGAGTCTAATATTTTAGTATATAAAATAAATGTAGAGTAGACAAAAGATGCCTTTATTTAATTGAATTATTAATTCTATTTTATAGGTGATCGGAGGTGATATGAATTATAAGTACGACATCAGAACTGTAGTAAAAGTAGACTTTAAGAGAGAATAGTTTTACAGAAAAAAATAGATAAAAAAACAAAGAGAATACAATTATAAGTCTTGTCGATTTATTTGTATAAAAATTGATTAAGAGCTAACTAGACGGGCAGGTTTGCCCTGATATTTATAGAAAATTGAAGATATTGTGGCTTGTATTTTTGACAGCTCAGATCCATCGTAATTTTATATGATGGACCATTCATTTGGTTTATTGAAGATCGTAAGATAGCTGTTCTTGATTTATTATTGTTCCTTAAATTCTCTGATCTCTCATTGGTCGGAGCCTAGAGTTGTGTTGTAATGAAGAAATTTCCATAAAGCCGGGTTACTTATTCCCGATCTTTTATCCGTGAAACATCTTTCCTTTTGTCGACAGTAGCATTTATTATGTGGTTTTAGCACAAAAAAAAGACACAGCTCGAATCTTTTCAGGATCGGTGTGTAACTCGGTAGGCGAGATAACATATCCAAGGAAAGAGATACGATCGGTTCCAAACTTACATTTGCGCAAGTTGATAGATAAATGTGCTGCACGAAGACGAGAGAAAACCGAACGAAGATCCTGAATATGTTGATCAAAAGAGGGTGAGAAAATTACAATATCATCTAAGTATACCAAACAACATTGCCATTTTAAACCAGCCAGTATAGAATCCATCAGACGCTGCATGGTGGCAGGTGCGTTACAGAGGCCAAATGGCATACGAACGAATTCATAGAGACCATTACGACAGATGAATGCGGATTTAGGGATACTTTCCTCGTCAAGTTCGATTTGCCAGTATGATGAAGTGAGATCCAGCGTGGAGAATATACGAGCATTACCGAGACTATGGAGCGTATCATCAATTTGAGATAAAGGATATACATCCCGGGTGGTAATAGCATTAATGCGGCGGTAGTCGACACAAAATCTTGGAGAGCCATCATGTTTGGTAACCAGCACAACACCTGAAGCCCAGGGCGAATTACTCTCGCGAATGATACCTTGTTCCAACATGTCCTCGAGTAGACCAGCAATAGTATCGTTTTCGGCAGCAGATACACGATAAGGGGCTAACGATAGTGGCCGATGGTCACCAGTGTCGATGTGATGTTGCACCAAGGGAGTCACCGATGAGGCTTTTGAAGCAAAACAATCTGAATATTCACCCAAAAGATCTTTCAAAGCACCAGCCTCAGAGCCAGACAGACCTTCACATATGGAAGGTGTGAAATCAAGAGATGCAGTAGACGTACTAGGTGAAGACTTAGGATCTGAAGGAGGACTAGACTGAGAAAGAATTTTAGAAGAAATAGAATGTAGTTCAAAAAACGAAGGTAAATACTCGTAAGAAGCGATATGCTGACCTTTATTTATAATAACATCAGTGGTGTTTAAATTAGCTATTTTTACTGTGGCCATGCCAGAAGAATCAAATTGGACAACGCCAGCAGCAACAGACAAGAGTTTTTCCAAGGTCACGTCTTGTGGGGTAGATACGAACGCGAGTCGGTTTGCAGGACCCTTGATATCAACATATGCGTGATGGAACCCTGGTAGACGGAGAGTAGTAGCCATTGAACACACCTTAGCAACCACGGGGACACCAGACGGAGGAACACCAGAGGAGTCACCAGAGATAGCCTTGGGGATACGGACTTCGTTGGAAGCGGTATCGATCACAGCACAAAGAGCCTTCAAATCCGGGTATCCGATAATTACTTCATGAGCTAACTCATGTACAATATGACAAGTGAGCACAACCGCCAGTTCACCTATCAGACAGGAAACCTTAGCGACACCGAGGGATTGATTCGGCTGGTTGTTGGCCGTGGTAAAAGAAATCTTGTACAGTTCATCATATTGTAAGTTAAGTGATTCAGCAAGAGATAAACGCATTACCGTTACAGATGCACCAGTGTCAATCAGGGCGGCTGCAGTAATGCTACCGAAACGAACTGTAACTCGAGGTGTAGCAGCTGAGGAAGATGTAGCAATCGAAATACTATGGACACCAGGGAAGGTGTATACCGGATCATCATCAATGGGTATAACAGCGTAGTTGGGCATGTCAATTGAGCTTACATAGCGTACTGTCGAACACGTACTGTTAGTGGGTAGTGGAGCAGGAGTGGATGGAGACGATGAGTCAATGCCATGGACTTGTTTAGGCTTCCATTGATTACGACCAGAGTTATTACCCCGATTGTTACTTTGGGATCGGCATTTCTTGGTTAAATGACCAATAGCGTTGCAATGGCCACAAATAGGTTGACCATCCTCAGCCCAACGACGCATTGGGTCTTGATCTTTACCCTGGTTGGTACGGCGTTGATGTTGGATAACATCGATATCCATAGGCGTGGGTTCCGAAGGGCCAGTTTCAGCAGGAGCGGTGAAATGTGGAGCTCCGAGAAAATGATCGTTACCAAGATGTAGGACAGATTCACGAATAGCAGCGGCAGTAGCCAGAGTCTTCTAAGTATCTTCTGAAGCAATTATAGACATCAACGCGTTACGGAGCTCAACTCGAAGATTGGCAAAAAAGATATGTCTTAAGACATCATCTGGTAAAGTGTGAGATTCAGGGAAGTCCTCAACAATGGTTTCAAAGTTCATGCGGTATTCAGCTACGCGGCGGGTACCTTGTTTAAGAGCTTCAAGCTTTCGACGGCACAATGTCTTTTGTAGCAGAGGGTCGATACCATAGACACTTTCAAGCTTAGAACGAACATCCTTAGCGCTAGTCAAGTTGGCAACGCGTAACAACCAGTCGGTGGCTTCTTGAGGTAAATATTTCAACAATTGCATGTTGCGGCTTCCTTCATTGTTCATACCAAGAGCTTTAGCAGCCAGATGGAATTGTTTGATCCAAGCAGTAATATCTTGGCCGGGTTGGAAAGGAGGAACAAGTGCGGTATTATTGACACGTTGTTCGGCCATCATGGACGTCTTGATTGGCTGCAAGCGGATCTGCAGGAACAGGAGTAGGAGTAGGAATAGGAGTAGTCATTTGGGGACTGAGAGAGCGATGTATAAGGTAAATACAGAGAGTTAGAGATCAGAGATAGTTAGATAGTTAGATATAGGCAGCGGCGCAGGAAAAGAGCAGCTACTCCACCATAAAATAAGTATGAAGTCGGTAGTCGAATAGAGTGCCGGAAGTGAGGCTTAGAGTTTAAGAGATATAATAAAGAAAAAATGTATATACCACCCCCTCTTTTTCCAAATATAGTAATTACCCCCCCTGTTCGGTCGCACCGGACAGTAGATGTCCGGTGGAAGTGGATCACTTTATACCCATTTATTAGGCTCGTTGTTGGATCACTTAACACCCATTTATTAGGCTCATTTATAATGTTTTTTTGGATCACTTAATACCTATTTTTTAGGCTCGTGTACAGTGTATTTTTGGATCACTTAATACTTAGATTTTAGGCTCATGTACAGTGTATTTTTGGATCACTTAATACCAATTTTTTAGGCCTATGAACCAGGTCCGAATAATTGTTTGAGGAGGGGCGGGGGGATTTAGGTACCATTTTGCTTTTTCCATTTTACAATTTACAACGATTATATAAATGAACAATCAAGAAAGTATTGCTGAAGGCGAGCGTCTTATTGTTCCTAAAAGAGTAGAAGTAGCCCCAAGAAATCCTTTAATCGAGACACTCTTCATAAAATTGAACCAGTCAAAGAATGAAGTATCACTTGAGGAAGTTGATGTCGAAGATGTTGATGACACATTAATTAAAGACAAGTTGACATGTGCTAAGTGCCATAAGACGTTCAACTCGAGATCATCCCTGATCAAGCACTTGAAGGTCAAACACCATATTGTAATCGTTGGTGTCAAGCATGGGCGTCCTGACCAAGGTGGAAGGCTTGCATACTATATCCGCCAGCAGCAAAAGAAGGCCGATAGAAATTCTGTTTTGAAAGTCGACGAAAAAAAACTTAAGAAGCAAATAAGGAAACAAATCAGTTATGAGGCGGTAAACGCCAAGAAGAGAGCTGAGTGGGCTATGTTGGAGAGTAAGGACCTTCTTGAAAACCTTAAGGTTTTATGGGATACGTCTGATGGTGTATGGAGACCAGATTTTGCCTATGTACAATATATTGAAGATGTCTCTCCCATTTACCAATATCTCATCACCAAACTATGTTTGGAAGATTCATATGTATGAAAATATAGTGAGCCTAAAACATAGGTATTAAGTGATCCAAAAATACACTGTACACGAGCCTAAAACATAGGTATTAAGTGATCCAAAAATACACTGTACAGTCCCCTCCAAGATAAAAGTATCATTTTGCAAATCCGCGTCATTTTCTTCAAAGGACCCCCCGAAATAAGAAAGCTTTTATTCGTTAAGTTTCTCATTTTTAAAAATAAAGATCTTTACAATGCCTCAATTAAGTCCCACTCAAAAAGCCTATGCAGTCGCGAAAAAGAATGAAGGCGTAACTATTGCCCAAATTGCTCGCGAACTGAAGTTTACCCATGCTGCAATTAAGCGTGCGATTGAACGTTGTGAGAAATCAGGTTCATTTGAGAGAAAAAAAGGCACTGGTAGACGTACGATCTTTACTGAAAGAGACAGACGAGCCTTACGATACTATGTGATTACTCATAGACGAAGTACTCTTGCCGAGATCATGGCTAATGTGGCGGTTAATGCTACAAAGAACACCTTTAGAAAAGAGCTTCGCCGCCTCAACTTGAGAAGCCGTATCGCGAAGAAAAAGCCTTTTGTGAACGAGGAACAGAGGAAAAGACGTCTTCAGTTTTCCAGGGACCACGAAAGTTGGACTTTGGAAGACTGGCGTCGAGTAATCTGGACAGATGAATGCAGCTTCCAAACTTGCAGTTCTTCTTGTCCTATTAGAATTCGACGAGGCCCAAAGGAACAAATGCTTCCTAGTTGTTTAGCACCAACATTTAAGAGTGGAAGGTCGTCGCTGTCTATTTGGGGAGGAATAACCTATAATCGTCGAACCAGTTTGGGTTTTTTCAACAAAGGCCAGCGATCTAGCAACGACTTCATAAAGCAGGTTTATGAACCAGTGTTGTTGGATTTTTACAACAGCTGCAGCACACCAGTATTGATGGAGGATAATGCTCCAATCCATACTGCAAAAGTTGCTCGTAAATGGAAAGACAATCACCAAATTCTTCGATTGAATTGGCCACCTCAATCACCAGATTTGAACCCAATCGAGAATCTTTGGATGATCTTGAAACGAGCAAAAGAAAGACGTTTTGAGTATGTTCGAAACATAGAATCATTGAGGATTCTCGTAGAATCTGAATGGAACTTAATGGGCTTTGAAAAGATTAATAAGTTAATCGATTCAATGCCAAAACGAATGAAGGATGTGATCCGAAGTAAAGGATAGCCCATCGATTATTGAGTAAATGAAAAAAATGGATTTTTATTTTTTTTTGTAAAAAATTGTATGAACACATTTAGTAAAGGTTCCTTATGGATTCCATATACATCTCACTAATTTTAAATATTTGAATGTCGAGTATATCCTTCAAAGTATATTAATCATACATCTGTGATGTATCGCGGAGTTGTAAAATGATACTTTTATCTTGGAGGGGACTGTACATGAGCCTAAAAATTAAGTATTAAGTGATCCAAAAATACACTATACATGAGCCTAAAAAATAAGTATTAAGTGATCCAACAATGAGCCTAAAAAATGCATATAAAGTGATCCACAAATGAGCCTAATAAATGCGTATAAAGTGATCCACAAAGGAGCCTAATAAATGCGTAGAAAGTGATCCACAATTGAGCCTAATAAATGCGTAGAAAGTGATCCACTTCCACCGGACATCTACTGTCCGGTGCGACCGAACAGGGGTGGTAATTACTATATTTGGAAAAAGAGGGGTGGTATATACAGGCTCTCATAATAAATATAAGTGAAATATATTTATTACAATAAACAGGAACTAGACTTTTTGAGATAAGAATAAGATAACGTTTATTAAGAGAAATAGTGGGTTATATTTATAGTAATTGAGTTTTCTAGTTATTACAGTCTGAATGTCATGGTGAAGGATTGTTAGTCATATTATCACATTGCATAATGTTAGTCATAATGGTTGTGTAAATATTATAACACCGATGAGTGAACCGATGACATCGACGTTTCACGACAACTATGGTTGCTGTAAAAAATTGGCTTAGTTGGGTATAGTGTGCAACACTGTTTCATTTTCTATGGTAAATTTGTTTGTTGGTTGTACAATTAAATAAAAGTCCAAAGCATTTTAATTGGAATTATTAGAGCATAAAAAAAAAAAAATGGTAAAGGGAAGAAAAGATTAAAATCAAGGGGAAATGCCATCTGTAGTCTTTCAAGGACCTTAACTTTAAAGTGACTACTATCGACATTTTAGCCGAGCGAGCATCGATCGAAGCTCGCTCGAACCCAAAAAAAGTGGCGCAAGCTCGAGTACAAAAACTCGGTTCGAGCTTCGTTCGAACTGGCGCAAGATCGGTGCAAGCTCGAAAAGTTCGAATACTAGTGGTGGTGTTGTAAGGTATTCGGTATGAAATTTAAAATAAGGAATAAAAAGAAGAATAACAGATGTATTTATAGTGAGCACCAGACTGTGAAAGTAGTCAACTTATTTAGAAATAATAATAAAAGGTTATAGCTTTGGATAACTTTTGCGACGAAATCAGTTCAATGCAGAATTCGAAGGAGTAGTAATATACAACTAAATCTTTAATTTGATGATTTAAGTAGGAAGTTATGTTCAAGTATAATTAAGATCTTATTAAGTTCAATAACTAAAAATAAGGATTAAGACGAGACTTAATGACAAATTCAAAGTGAAGTAAAGACTGACTGAGAAATTCGAGAGTGATAATAGCGAATTAAGAAAAAATGTGAAATTTAACAAAGTGAAATTATCAAACTGCAAAAATAAACTAAAGCTTTATTAAACAAATAAATGGGGGTCTTTATATACACATTATTTCAGACATTGATCACAGATGGGCTGATGACGGTTGTGGGTAGATTTATCCAGATAATACTCGGATGTAATGATCCCATATAGAAAGACCATAATGAGATGTCAATAACAATAACAAAAACATTCATTCTTAAACTGTGTATGTCTTGTAGCACAACATTCAGGGGAAAATGTAGTTCTTATTAAAGGTAGCTGTGGCACCTCAACGTGGCTGATGTAACCTTCATATGTTTTCACATTATGTTATTATTTAAACGAGATCGCGGCCCCAGCCCACTTCGGTAATTTTTTGACCTTCGCTTCGCTACGGTAAAAATAACCTACGTTCATGCTGGGGGCGATCTCGCGCCTGCAGCGGGCCACCGACGCCACTCAATGTTTATAAATGGGACAAAAATAGATTTTATTGATAATGAATATTTTATGTTTTATTTTGTGTTCGAGTTAGTACTTCAGTAAATACAACGTTGTCTGTGAGTGTTGAAAATGACTGCTCTTTCAGTAACATTACTTTGAGATTAGCAGGGTTACGGACCCGTGATAAAGCAACATAAAGTTGACCGTGCGTGAAAACGGGTATGATCAGACAATTGGTGCAAAAGAAAGAGTTTGGCCTTGGTCGGAACTTACAGCCCCTCCCAGCTCACTCAATGCTAATCAATTTTTTTCACTCAATGTTTTATGTACTGTGTTGTTCGGGACTTACAGCCCCTCCCAGCTCATTCAATGCTAATCATTATTTTTTTCACTTAATGTTTTGTGTACTGTGTTGGTCGGGACTTATAGCCCTTCCCAGCCTATTCAATGCTCACATTATTATTTTCACCCAATGTTTTATGTACTGTGTTGGTCGGGACTTACAGCCCCTCCCAGTTCATTCAATGCTAATCCTTATTGTTTTCACTCAATGTTTTGGGTACTGTGTTGGTCGGGACTTACAGCCCCTCCCAGCTCACTCAATGCTAATCAATATTTTTTTCACTCAATGTTTTATGTACTGTGTTGGTCGGGACTTACAGCCCCTCCCAGCTCATTCAATGCTAATCATTATTTTTTTCACTTAATGTTTTGTGTACTGTGTAGGTTGGGACCTACAGCCCCTCCCAGCTCATTCAATGCTAATCAATTTTTTTCACTCAATGTTTTATGTACTGTGTTGGTCGGGACTTACAGCCCCTATCAGCTCAGTAGGTGTTTATTATACTCATACATGTCTGTTGCTTCGACCTGCGCTTCGCTTGGCCGCGCAAAAAAAAAAAAAAAAAAAAAGAACAGTCCGAATTACTAAATATGGTATATACTGCAAAGTCAAAACAATCATTATAATATTGATGTATGCCTTATACTTGTATGAAGGATGATATGAGATCAAGCCTGTACATAAAGTAAATGATCAGTATTTAATATAAAGTACCAATAAGAATTATATTTAGGATTATCAAATGGAAGATTTAAGAAGTGTAGATAGAGTCATATATTAAGTATATAGCCTCGATCACGACACTGACTGAAGAAATGTTTATTTGTTTTTAGGGGCCCCTTTTATAGAAAAAGGGGAGAAAAACAGTCGGGAGTTTGGGGGAAAAACCCAAAGAAAGGAAAAAAGGTAGTGTAACAGTTGTGTAAGAGGTAGTGGAATAAGATAGGTTGTAAAACTGAGTTTTATTAATATGTGATTGGTATAGGTATAAATACCTGATACCGAGTTACACAACTCTTACATTGTCCCCCTTATAAAAGGATGTTATCAACTATACTAATAAATTCTCTATCTATAACTATTCAGATTTTATATATGTCTTTGATGTTGGCCGTCGTAGTCTTGACTATGTTTCGTTTGGATTTCGTATTGTCAATTAACTCTAAAAGAAAAGCATCATCATTTTTGCTAGTCGGTTTCACTATCCTCCACGGACCCGAAAATTTTGGTTCACTAAATTTCCAGTTATCCTTCATCTCAATTTTTATAACCTTGTCGCCGACTTCGAGTTTCTCCTTCTCCTTACGATTACGATTGTAATACTTTTGTTGATTTTGTTGACTACGCTGGATATTCACTTGGATCTCTTCATGAATAATTGGCAGGTAGTGATTCAGATATGCTATCCATTCCTCGGCCTGGTAACTCATCTTGTCAACTCGTGGAAAATCCGCTAAGGCTGGTAAAACCGCTTGCCGTCCAAA